TTATGGTAATTACTGTATTTTGGGATGTTACAGTTGCATTGTAATATTGAAAGATATAAAGGAGTTTTAATTATAGATCTGTTGGGACATAAGTTACAATTTATTATATTACAAAATTATAATAAATTAATGGGTCTTTTGAAAAAAAAAAATATGTAAAAAAACACATTAAAAAGATATGAATTCAACTTAAAGAAATTAACAACTTTTTTAATTAAAAACTTTAAAACAATAAATTTACAAATCTTTTATAATTATTCAACTTTTCATTTTCGAACATGAAACTTAATTTTACTTAGATTTATATTTAGATTTCCAACCATAAAAATTATTAAATACGATGAGAACAATTTTGTGATAGCATTTTTAACTATAAAACTCTAAAAATTCTATGAATTTTTTTTATTTTAACTTGGCATGAAATTGAAGAGAAAAAGTTGAAAACAACTGGCATCCTAGGAAATTGATCCCAATGTTCGTGGAAGAGGCAAGAGAAACAAAGGATCACATTCACATGTGAGACAACCTATGCTGTCGGTAGTACAGTGTGAGTGGGCCCCTGTGGGGATATTTTTTTCTTCCTTCATTAATTTCACTCAACCATTGCCAATAAGCAATCAAGACGAGAGTCAGACATGTCAAAATTCTTGTTTCCATTCTAAGTTCAAAGCATTCAGCATATGACTTCACATGGTCTGTTTGAACAAGTTTGAAAAATTTATAAAGAATAAAACCATCCATACCATCTTCAAGCTTTTACTTTCTTTAGTATTTCCCAGAGTAATGAAACTGCTTAAAAATCTCTGAAGTATTATTGAATGTTTGTTACTTTAAGTCTCTGAGTAAATGTATTTTAATGAAGTTTAGGTACCACCAACTTGAAGAATTTTTTAATAATTGAGGGGCTGTCTAATTTAATTTCATATATTCTCAAAGAACTTTAACATGTTTTGTTTTACTTCAATAACAATTTAAAAAAGTGAATAATAATTGAAGAATGAAAGTGATTATTATTCAACTCACAAAACGTGCTCCCATACAGATAGGTTTGAATGTAGCTGTCTCAAGTTCTTGACTTCTTGTAACAAAGACCAAATTTAGCACATAGAGTTACCTGATCATATTATTTGTCTAGGTTGGAATCAGGAGGAAATTGTAGCCCCATTTTTGAGAGGTTCACACCACCCCAATAACTCTAGCTTTTGTAATTTTTAGAAGTGATTGAATCAATAAATTGTGTGCCAACAATCAACACTTTTGGTTACATAATATTCTTCAGCCAAATCATTTATTGTGATCAACTGCACAAGGGTAGATATCAGGGACCACATAAAATGCCAGAATAACTACATAGTCAAACAACAAAAGAGACAACAAAGAAACTGTCCTTAGTGAGCCAACCATGGACCAAAAAATAATGAACAGTATGAGTTCTTTTTTCTGTTTTTTTTTTTTATTTGTTCAAATGAGTTTAATTGAGCACTGCCTTTGATTTTTACATCAGCTACTACTGGTTTCTGAATTTTGACTGTTGTGTAATGAGCTCCATGTTCATAAAATAAGAGAATAAGACAAACTCCTTCTGAGTACTTCTAGAAGAAAAAATATACATAAAACAGATAAAAAGCTAAAATTAAACTGTGCACAAATTGATTTATAAAAATTCACATAACTTTTCTAAACTTTTAGGTTATGCATAAATTATTATAAGTGCTCATGAAAAACCTTATTCAGAAAAACTCTAACAAGTTGTGGTGATGTAAGGCAATTCAAAACCTAATTTGACTGCTCTTAGAATAAGTATTTAAAAAACCAAAGGAGTGAATTGTTGGGTGGTACGGTAAGTGATTATCTAAGAGTTTTACTTACCAAGACTAAAGAAGCATCTAAATGTTCAAAACATACAAACAATTTCTCCACTTAAAAAAGTATTTTTGATAAAGAAATTTACAGTATTGTCAGGCACCTAGATCAATGATGCTATAACTTAACCACAGATACTGCTTCAAGTAGGGTGTAGCATGGTAACTTCATCTATTTACTATATTTATATGGACAAGGCGTGGCGTAACTGGTATCAAACTGTGCAGAGCGTATGAGTCAGAGACTGAAAGCAGAGCCTTCTTCCCTCTGAAACCCATACGGTATCACTGGTTCAATCTCAATAAATATTGGAGGTGAAAAAACTTTGTTTCTTCACGCTGTAATTCTACATCTCCTAATAAACTTATTAGAGATATTTACGTGTCTACTCCACAAACTTCGAACCTCCGGGAAGCCAATTTCAAGCCATGGTTTTGCAGGGCCACTGAAATGAATAATAGGCGCAGCTTCCAATTTTTCTTTGCTAATTTCCGCTGATTGATGGCGATAACCTAAATCAGACACTAGCATTGATGAATTTATAGGATGCACTTGACCATCAAATGCAATCAAGGCAGGTGGAAGCACTCCTGGATTCCACATTGTCGTCCCAGACTCGAGGTTCTGTGAGATCAGATAAATATAGATGTTTATTGGTATGATCACTTTACTGAAGCATAAAATTGTTCATAAACATTTACAAGAGATGAGAATAAGAAATGAATTGAGTTTTTCTCATAAGCTAATATCAACTCTATGTTTAAACTTCGGAAAAAGTTAAATGAGAGTTTCTGTAAAGGAAATGCATAAGTTGATTTTAGCTTTATGAGAGAAGCTCGATTAATCTTACCTTCTTATTTTATTTTCTTACATGTGCTTGCTTACGAAGAAGTTTATATAAATAGGACCTAATTACACCATGCATTCTTTTTGTTGATTGCGTGATGTAAAGTGCAGAATTATCTCTACTGTATGGCTTCAAAGGATAAACCAGTTCTAACTTATAAGTGATGCTAGACATGCATGCAGAATGTAATGCAGTAGTACTTAAGACCAAATAAATATTGCTTAACATAATACAAATAATAAACATTTATGAACATCTCAAATCACTCATGTTCAATATTTGATGAAAAAAAATGAAAATTTAAGCCGTGTCTTGTTAGTTCAATGTTGATGCATGTGAAAACTTAACAAAATGCATTGAATAGAATAATGTACAGGCTTCATTAAGCACATTATGTCAACGGAAACTTACAAGTTTCAACCATTGACGGTAAGTCTCCGTTATGTTTGATCTTCTCCAAGCTTCAAGATCAAATATATTCATGCCATAGAGCCATGCACACTGATCACCGTGGAATTTTGATGATACTTGAGGATGTGAAAAGTTCAAGTAGTTCATGTATTTATTTCCAGGGCAGCAGCTGTCTCCACACCATGACTTGAATACAGAACCGATGACTTTTCCATTAAGATCTAGTTCCCATAAAGAAGAAATGTCATGTTGGATTACAACATCGTCATCCAAGAAAACTATCCTTTTGAGATCTGGAAACAGCTGTTGTGGTCCACAAAAATCAGATGATGAAACAATCATCGCCAAGCATTTAGACTTTTTATCACTTATTACTCAATCAGAGGGCTACCAAAAATAATTAATTACCTCAGGCGTATACATGCGCAGTTGATTCATCAAGGATAGGCTGCTGGGCCTTAAAGCCTCCAAATATGTGCTATGTTCTTGAGTATATTGGAGGTCCTTTCCCTTGTTATAGTATTGCTTCCAAATGAAGTGATTAGTTTCCAGCATCTCTTTAACACCAGCATTCACTTCTTCGGACCAGTCGTATTGGTGCAGTCCCCTAACTTCCACAACTGCTGATTTAACAGAATTGGTGGCAAACCAAGCATGCATGGGGGCATAAGTTTTTTTGTCAGTAACAATGTGAAAAACTAGTTTTTCAGGGTTGATTGAACTTTTATAAGCAGAGGTTACGACAACAGATGCAGCAAGGACATTGTCAGTGAGAAGACCTATGTGGTGAAAGGTGGGATCAACAAGGCGAGATACAAATTCAGGAGGGGGTAGACGAGACCTGGCCATAGCATTTACAGCGTATTCTTCAGCCAACTTTAGACAAAGACAATGTAGACTTTTGGGAACACCATGAGAAGCTAGATGCCAATATACTGACTCCTGCTGTCTTGCTAGTTGCACCTTGCGTTCCAATTGTGATAGCTGAACATGAACAGAAGAAATTGCATATTTTTTTAGAGGATTAAAACTTAACTTAACAATTGCTTTTCCTGAATTGAATATTTTGTAGCTGACTAGAGCCTATGCTTAATTGGAAAACCATTCAATGATGCAACCCATGTACAACGAGACTTGGACTATGATGTTACCTTCACCCACATTCCTCCTTATTTTAGGATCCATCAAGTTAAAAGAATGCAAGTATCATGATACCCGAAGAAGCCCTCCAACTAAAGGTCGTTTTTCGAAAGCCTCCAGCAATTCAAAACTCAAGACAACTCAACTTTCAAAACTTTCCACGAACGTAGTGTAAAATTATCTCCCTGTCCAAGTGGAGAAATCCCCTGATAAAGAGGTAATAATTTGCATGGTTTTATAAGTTGAAGATGAGTTAATTGTGTTTTGAACCACATGAGTCTCCGAAATTGACCTGTAGCTGAACGTGATTTCTTGCATCTTAGCCTACATTTTATCTTGGCCACTTTTAGACACTTTCAGCAACTGCCATAGATATATAAAATTAAAAATGGAATACGAATAATCAATCCTTTAAGAAACAATTCAATGCCGTAAATTTCAGGTTATGTTAACTTTTTTATTCATTGTTTATGGTTCATAGACCATGTTCTACAATTGGAGTTTATATGCCACACAAAGTCCAGTTGTGCAAGTTGTATCAATTTCCTTTCTTTTTGTTGTCTTTTGTTTAATTTTGGAAGTGTCTGTCTTTTGGTGCACGCCTATAGTGTGTTACTATGTTTAAAAGCTATTTGCATTGGCTTCTCGTGATTTTCACACCTAAAATGTTGAAGTCAGGACAGACATTTACTATATAATGGCTCATGATTGTAAATCAACATCAGAATGAAATAAAAAAGGGATCACGAGGAAAACGAAAGACAAGATCATCATCATCTTATATAATATTAATAACTACAAAAAGAAAAGGCAGTACAAAATTTTATATACCACGGATTTGGTCTTGAAGGCAAAAGCCTTAAGATCTTGGTTTGAAGTCATCTCTTTCACAAGTTCATTGAATGACCCTGCTCCCTCTTTAACATTACCATCATTTGCCTCTACTAGGGCTCTTGTCAGCTCATCTCTGAGTTCCTTCAAGGACATGCAGTACCATAGTAAAAAACAGATCACAAATTATCATATTCTTTTTTCTAGAAGTTTGAAAGGGTGGTCAGAATCTCTAGTCGAGACCTTGACTATTACAGGATAGCAACAAACCAATGTTACCAGGAAATAATACTAGTTTAAAAATTGTTTGCTTTAAATATAAATTAATTTTAATTACAAACTTATATTAAATCGTGTGCTCCAATAAAAAAAAAAATAATGCTTTCTCAACCAGTTAGTTTGATGATTCAATAAAAGAACATAGACCATAAAGACATTGGAAACAGTGAAAAAAGTTCTGAACATAGCAACTAGCAGAAATAAAAAGGTAGAAGTGGAAGAAATCATTGCTCTACAAGTGGCTGGTCATGCTCATTGCCCCACATATATCAGGAATGCAACTTGTCAAAGTACGACAGTGAACTACCAACTCTCACAGCAGCATTATATGATCAATATCAATTCCTCGGATTTTTTTTCTTTCCCTTACTTTTTGTTTATAGGGAAAACAAGTTTTATGCACTGCTCTCAATTTAGACCTATTTCAATTACTAGTTGATATATCATGGATCTTTTCAAGGAGTACTGGCCTCTAACTATCAAACAATTTTAGTAATAAAACGTAAAAAATTTATGTCTAAAAACATGTTTACTTATGGAACTGTTTAAATAATATATAATAGATGTATTTTGTATATCATAAACTGACTTGAATTTTAATTAAGTTGTAGATGTAAGAAAGTCAATTAAACTGTTTAAATAATATATAATACATGACTAATCCAATCCAAGAAATAACAAATAACAAAAGACTGAGGAGTTAACCCAAAAAATGATAAATTTAGAATTGGTTTTTATTGATAACTATATATCTATTCTTCAGCTTTTACTGTCTTTTTCCGAACTCATCTGACAAACGATGTCAACCACATGTGGTGGAGATTTTAAAAGTTGAAATATAAAGATTAAAGGATCATGGCAAGTGAATGAAAAGGAAACAACAAAGTATCTCATGCAGCATAATGTATGGATATGATCCATTCTGAGGTTGTCTAATATTGTCAAAACAACATAAGATAGGGGGGATTTTGTGTCTTAGTTGGTGACAGATAGACAAACCCCCCTTAAATTTATACTTCTTTATGAATGATTCATGGCACCCCATATAGTTTAATAAAATCTCATGTTTTAAGATCAGTGATAAATCTCATATCCACCAACTCCTTTTAATTGCATAATTTTTAGGTTTTATTTTGTTTTTAAATATTGGATTTGTCTCCCAACCTAAATGCTGACAAACTATAATTGTGAAATGATTATTATTCAAACTTTACAAGAGGATAACAATACTTTAGGTTTATCAAAATTAGATAAATTATATAATAGACTGACCTTGATCTTGTTTATTTGTTAATATGTAGACGTTCTTTACTAGTTGCACTTTTTTAATATATAAATTAATTATTCATGCATCACCTTTTTAAGATCGGATCCGCCTGTAGCCACTATATTTGAAAATAGTATTTGACTTTTTTTCTTAGCCAAAAAAGGTTTGATTTATAGAAAAACATCATTTTGACGAATTTGATAATATAAAAATCCTAATTTCAATAAATTTATTTTTTCAATAAACTTGATTTAATTGTGCAGGCAAGAGATCAAGTAAATAATAGAATTGGCTATTTACATTTTAGGGGAAGATGGTTGAAGGAAGGAAGATATTAAAAAGGAGTTAAACTAGAAAGAATACAAAAGGGTAATTTGGTAAATGAGATACTTACTAGTGACGTGTCAACCCCACTGAAAAACCTCCACCCAGCACATTCTGCAACAATCATTTTCATCCATATCTGTCATTATCTACATAATAAATGAATTTATCTTCTTTTTTTTTTCTGTAATAACTATAATTTTCAAAAATTTTGTTATTAGAAATTTGAATAACCATCATTTCTGAAAATGAAAATCAGAAAATAATTTCTTCAAAATAAACTGCATGTCTTGAATAAGCTTTTAAAAGAAAATTTTCAACTTTTCAGAAAATATTGTTTCAAAATAAACCCGTATCTAAAATAGTATGAAAGGATATATTTGTCGATCTCAGAAAATCAAATTACAAATACAATGCATTTAAAATTATTTTAAAATTAATTTTATTTACTTAGTTTGAAAAGATACTTACATTATCCTACAACATTATCCGTTTTTTATATTTCGAGTTTTAAATCATGCTTCATCAAAAATGCATATTCACACAGAAAAATAAAATTATATTTTTAATAGTTATTGTTAAATTTAAATAAAAATTAAAACTGGAACATAGTTTAATGATCGAAAACTATAAACTAATTAAACAGTTCTTTCATTATATTTATATCGTACTGTTGAACTTAAAAAAAAATAACAGTGGAGTAAAAGTAAAATTTAAATAAATTTAAAAATACTATAACCTTGTTCTTAGACTCAATTTAACTACTATCCCCTTATTTAAATTAACCATTCAGAGAAAATTATAAAATTTAATTAAATAAAACTAGCATTATGATTTTCAGAGTAATAATAACAGGCAATGTTTAGAGAATTAATTTTTTTCATTTTTCTATAATTTTAATATACTTAATAAAAATTATACTGTAAATTGATTAAAAATATTATAAAATTATTTTTAAAACAATTATTATAAATCAAATAATTATTATAGAAGTAAATAACTTCCAATACAAAAAAAAAAATCAATTATTTATCTTCTAAACTCGAAAAAAAATCCAAAAAACTTATGCAGTTACTATAGAGTATATTAATTAAAGGCCTTAGCTTTCATGCTCCATTAGAGAGAAAAAAAAAACCATTATATATATAAATTTTAAATAATTAAAGTATAAACCAGTAATTTTTCGTAAATCAGTGCATATATAAATTAAAAGACTTGCTATATCTTCTCTCTGAAATCATAAAGATTTGCATAATTTTTTGTAAAATAATTACAATAAAAGCCAGTAATTCTTTTTTAGAAATTGTGATTGGACAAACAATGCCCATACATGTTAATAATTAAATTATTTCTAAAATGATAAACTTATTAATTAAATTATTTTTAAAATGATAAACATTGTTTAGGAAAGCAATTATTTCTTGAAATGAAATAATTAAAAAATGGATATGTTCTTTCACAAAGTGTACAAAAAGTAACCAAAGTAAGTAACAGAACTGAGTTGTAAGCAAAGGAAAAAAAGTGAAAAGGCAAGGAAATAGATTACCAAACGAGGAACACACGGCAGCAGATTCCAGCATCAAGATCGCGATCCTCACAAACAGAAACGGCAGCACGATCCCAAGCACCACCACCACCGGAAACACTGTTCGAGCCGAAATCCGGCGACCGGAGCCAGCGCCGGTCCCTGCCGTTGTAGTCTTCGCCGATCCTTTTCCGTCCTCGTTAGATATTGTCACTCTCCTTATTCCCTTTGTCGATATGTAGAACTTCATCTCTGCACTTCCATGAATCAATCCAATTCCTCTCTATCTCTCGTTGATCCCCGATTCACACAAGATCTGAAGCTTCATTACTTCACTCCAAGAGAGAGAGTTTTCCTGTTCGTGCTTGGTGAAGTGTTTGAGAGAGAGAAATTCATTTGTAGAGTAGGAAAAGGTGTTCACGGGTTTGGAATTTTCTCTTTTTCTTTTCTTTTGGATTTTTTTCGACAATTTTTCTAAAAAAGAATGAAAATTTAATTTCTTTTAATTTTTGTAATAATAAAGAAAAACATGTTTGTTTTTGGAGAGAGAATCTCAAAGCCGCGTTTATGCCGCGGAAATTATTAGATTGTAATAAACACTGAGTGCTTATAAAAGAGGTGAATGTGTAGTTAGTGTTTTGTAATTGGTTTTTGGGGCTATTTACGATTTTGACATTACCTCGTTATTTTGCCGACACCTACTTTGACGTGGCACAGATGGGACACCAATGTGTAATTGTGTGATCTCTTCAGCTGTGGAGCATCTTGAGTTTTTATAGGCAATAAGAATTTTTTTACAAAGAATTAATTTAAAATTATTTTTTAAGATTGAAGATTTTTATATAAGTATATATACAATTTTAAATAACTTATATTTAAAGTTAAATGATATTTTTGTATTGATAGAAAGTCTCTTAAAAAATATTATTGAATATATTTAAGTTAATTATGAAAAAGATACATAGTTTCTCTTTATTAAATAAATTTTGTAATATTATTTTCAAAATAGATTTTAATTTTGGTTAATTTATAATTCTCTATTCACAATTTTAGTTTTTTTTAATATTTTAACTCTAGTATTTTAGAAACTCGGTAACTTTTTTTTTCATTTTCATTTTTCATTATTCTGCAATTTTATTTCTGGCCTTTTTGTTAAATTGAACTTTAATTAGACCTCAAACAATTATTTTATAGTATTTTCAATAAATTAATTGATTAAAATATAAAAAATTGTAAAATTAGGAATTCAATCAAAATTTAAAAGTTGAATAAAAAGAATAAAATTAGGATAAACAATAGAAAAGTAATCCGTAGATGAAATTAAAAAAATATTAAGTTTTAGTTTAGTTTATTTTTCATAATCTATAATAATATATAAACACTTCTCTTTTATAACCTAGAAAATAAAGTATTAGAATAAATCGGTGTATTAAAATAATGAGAAGAACAATTTTATTTTAAAATAATCTTATAATATAAATAGAACTTTCTAAAGCTCAGTTCATTGTCTAAATACAATTCATCTCTCTAGAACACTATTCCTCAGAGTTCTCTGACATTTCTCTAGAATTTCTCTCAATTGAGTTGTCTTATTGACGATCAAGAGGTGCCCAGACGTTCACAGCGTAGAGGGCTACACAATTGACCAATTAATTTCTTGATTCTAGCTAGTAAGTTGTTTTCCCCTTTTCATCGCATGTTCTTGAGTCGGGATCATGCAAATTCTTCTGTTGCATGTTTCTTGTAGTTTTCATCTTAAATTCCTAGTTCAATTCAAGCTCTAAGAGCTATTCTCTATCACCAATTGGTGAGTTGTAGGTTTTTATTGAGTTTCCTTGCGGTGCAAGGTACTGTTGGAGTGATTTCGTGAGTTGGGCAGTTTATCTCTAAGGTAAAGGGAGCTAGATATTTTCTTTAAATTAGTTGTATGACATGTGCGTATGCTGAATTCTGTGTTATTATGTTGTTTGGGTCACATTTTAGGTTTTGAGTAGATGTAATTGTATGTACTGGAATGTAAACTGTGAAATTATGAAATGATGCTGGTGAACTGATTTTGGATGTGATGTACATTGCAATTGAGTATATTATATGAGTGTAATCTTTTATAATAGTCATTATAGTAAGTTAAGTGAATTGGGTAGTGTTTTGGGTCATTTTAGAGGAAGTGAGGTAGTGAAATTGAGAACTAGAGGTCAAGGGCTCATTTGGTCTATTGGGGTAGTTTAAGTAAGTTATATGTGACTTGTTGGAGTCATCAAAATGGTCAAAAACAGGTTCAAAGTGGTAGATTGGGATTTGGGTCCCTAAGTTGATGAATTTGATGTTTTAGAGTAGGAATTGGTTCATAAACACTTTAGATTGATGTTACGAAGGTTTAGAATCACTTAGTCAAGTCTAATTAGGGATATAAAACAATCTAGGAGTGTTTGAAGTTGGGAAAAATTGATAGAATTGGTTATTGGGGTTTGAGTTGCATAATTCTGCAGATTATGCAGACTCGCTCAACAAGTCACCCTAGCGAAATGCTCTCTACTAGGGCATTCGCACAACGAATAGACGCGTTGTGCGAATGGTTTGAGAGGGTTGCTCTCTGTTCGATGATCCGCTTGGCGAATCAGGGCGTTATGCGACTAGTTGGGATTTGGGACTATTGCCAATTTTATTCGAATAGCGAATAGGTGCGCTCTGCAAGTGTTTAGGGAGTCTGAGCCACTGCCTAGGGCTCTCGCATAGCAATTTGGGGCGCTATGCGAGGGGTTTGAGGTCTGATACAATTAGGACTTTATTCGCATAGGTTAATGTATTGCGAATGGTTATGGGGGGTGGGTCTCTATTTGAGGATTCGAATAGAGAGTTGCGTTGTTGTGCGAGAAACCTCTAGATTCGCTCTACGAATGTGTGCATTGTGCGAATGGTCCAAGTTTAGTTCACTCTTTTCTTTCAATCTTAGGTTGATTTAAATGAATTGTTGAGAGCAATATGAAGCATGTTCGACTTTGTCTTACATTACATAATTGATTATTGTCACGAGTTATGTTGGTGCCCTATGTTGTGATCCAAAGTGAATTTTCTTGTTGAGATTCAAGTATGTTTAGAATGAATGCAAGAGCTAAGTCTTGGGGGTTATCCTGAAACTCCAATGGTCTTTCATTCTCAAGTAGAGAGGATCGATCCATGTCGTGAGAAGTAGTAGGAGGTCTTAGTCTTGGGGGCTTCCAGTATGCTCCAAGGCGTGGTACAGACTAATCTCGTGAGTGTGGTAGGGTGAAATCCATTGGCAATGGCTTTGTAAAGCAGTAGAAGCCACCACGAGTGCACGACCCGCCATAGCTCGACAATCATTCTAAGTCCGGATAGTCAAAGTCAGTATAGTGTCATGTATGAAGAGTTTATGTGATGTGAATGAATATGTATGATAGTATGAAACTTAGTAAATGAATATATGATTAATCTTTGTTTAAACTAGCTTACCCTATTGTGTGTTTGTGTTTTGTATGTGTTGGTATTCTTTCTTCTCCAATGATCATCCTATGGGTATGAGCAGAGGGAGATGAGGTGTCTCTGGAGCAGGCGTTGGACGAAGGTGATGCTGTTGAGTAGTTAGTTTTAATTTAACCTTGTAGATAGTTTGGAGTATTCTATTGTCTATATAAAGTTCTAAATTTATAGTTGTTTTTGGATAACTATAAAGGAAATACTTTATATTATAAGTTGGATAACTGTTCTATCTTATCATGATTGTGATAACTCTCTTCTATGGTTTATACTATATTTTGGGATGTTACATTAATGGTATTATAGACAATTTTTTTCCTTAGGAATCCTGTAGATTGTGAGTGTACCTTATATATATTTTTTATTTTTAATTACATTTTCAAATTAAAAATTTACAACAACCTATAAAACAAATTTACCTCTAATATTTATATTTATTCTTAATTATATTTTAGAATTAAAAATAAAAAAGTAATATTTTAAATGTTAGAAATAATTATCGTATAATTATTTATTATATTTTTATGTAATCACTATTAATATTAAAAAATTTAAAGTATAGAAAACCATTATGTGTTTTTTTTATTAACTATAAGAATGATTTAGGAAAATCTTATAGGACATACATTCTATATTTTTTATATAAGATTTGATGTTATTTCTTACTTTTTGTTTGATAATGATATAATTATAATTTTTTTCTCAAATATAAAATAAAACTATTTATTTCATTTGTAATGAATATTTTATAATATTATATTTTATTTAGGTTTAATCAATCAGGAAGTCCCTATTTTTGGGCATAATCTCAATTTGGTCCTTTTCTTTCTTGGCGTCTTAATTGGGTTTTATTTTTGTGAAAATTGCAACAATTCGGTCTCTGCCGTTAAATTGAGCCCAACGACGTCAGTCTCTGGTTGACGTGGCATGCTGGACTGAGTTTTTAATTGACGTGGCTGAATAATGTGTACTTAGGTAGTTTTAAAATTAAAAACTTGATAAAATATGGGAGACGGACCCTTCCTCGGGGCTTTACACCCTGCGGTTAGAACCATCCTTCTACGGTGAGTTCGAGCTCATCTTCAACGACACCGTTTCGTACTGGTCCACCGGGAGCTGAAGCAATGGGACATTCCTTAACATCCCAAAGATGACCATCCCCTACCTCTACACCTTTCACTTTGCCATGCCGTTCTCCCCAGCCGTGGCCTTCGGTTTCTCCGAACGCGCCATCAAGACGAGCTTCCGACTGTTGACGATGTTCCACCTAGAGCCCTTCGGGCAGGTCAAGCAGTACTCGTGGAACAGTCAATTGGGTTCCTGGCAGATGTTTTGGTTCAAGCCGAAGAGTGTGTGCCAGGTTCGGGGACTCTACGGGGTGTTTGGGGTTTGCACTAGGGACACATCCAAATTCTGTGAGTGTGTGGGTGGGTTTAAGCCTTTGGATGTTCGTGGGTGGGGTTCTGGTGATTACTCTCAATGTTGTCACCATGTGGACGCGGGGTGTGATGGAGGTGATGGGGGTGATGGGTTTGAAGATCTTGGTGCTGTGAGGTTTGGATTCGGGAATGTGAGTCTGGTTAAGGGGAAATCTAGAAGCTTTGTGAGCGCGAGTGCTTGAATGATTGTGGGTGCGTTGGGTTGAGTTTCGAAAAGCAGAGTGGATTATGCAAGAAATTTTACGGTTCACTTTTGGATTTTTAGAATTTAACCGCCGATGGTGAAAGTAAGGTTTTGCATGTTAGGGTTCCGAGCGGTGGTGGTGACATTGTTGGTGATGGTGAAGAAGAGGGTTGAGGGGAAGAAATTGGAAGAGGATGAGGAAGATGGGTTTGTGGGTGTGTTGAATTTGCGTGTGTTTTCTTACAAGGAACTTCAGTTGGCGACTCAGGGGTTTTCAGAGAAGATCGGGCACAGAGGGTTTGGGACTGTGTTTCAGGGGGAGTTGAGTGATGCTTCGATTGTGGCTGTGAAGAGGTTGAAGAGGCTAGGGAGTGGGGAGAAGGAGTTCAGGGCGG